TATTGTATATGTGTGTATATATTCATGTGTATTGTGTAGGTTATGTTTGTGTGTATTGTGTATGTGTGTATGATATGTTTTGTGTATGTGTGTGTATGATATGTTTGTGTGTATTGTCTATGTGTATGTGTTGTGTCCATTACTGTCTCTTTCTAGTTGCCTTAAATATAATATCTGAGACGGGGTAACTGGGTGTTTTACTGTTTTTCCTCTTGTTCTGATAAAATACCCCAACAAAAGTAACCTAAAAGAGATAGTTTATATTTGACTCACAATTTCAGCTTGTATATCATTATTGTGGATAAGTTAAGGCAGCAGGGACTTGAAGCAGCTAGTCCTGTCTACAGTTCAGAGCAGAGACTGAGTAAATGCAGTCATACTTGTACTCCACTCACGGTCTCTTCTCTGACATAGTTCAGGATGCCCTGCCTAGGGAAAGGTACCACCCACAACTGGCGTGTCTTACCACCTCAGTTAACTTAATCAAGGTATCCCCCTTAGACTGGCATGGTGGTGCACATCTTTAATACCAGGCCTTGGGAATCAGAGGCAAGAGGATCTACACAGAGAATTGCAGGTTACCCAAGGAAACATAGTAAGACTCTGTCAAAAACAAAACAAAACAAACAAACAAACAAACAAAAAAGATAACCCCCAACAGACATGCCCACTGGATAATCTAATCTAGACAACCCTCACTGAGACTCTTTTCCCAGGGACTTTTAGACCATGTCAAGGCTGCACCAGTGAGATTGTTCTGTGGTTAGAGGTGCGTATATGTAGACCTACTGACCTGAGTTTAGTCCCTGGATCCCACAAGTGTCAGGAGAGAACTGACCCTCCACAGTCATCCTCTGACCTCCACATGCTGTGGCACAAGCAAAAAGCAAACCTGTGTCCCACACAAATAAATAATAGATAATAAAATTCGACGCTGTCAAGTTGACAAAACAATTTACTGGGTGATTTGATGTGAGATGTCCTTCTGTGTATGTGTTGCTTTTATTGAGTAATAAATAAAGTAGTTTCAGCCAATGGCTTACCAGAGTAAAGCCAGGTGGGAAATCAGAACAGAGAGAGAGAGAGAGAGAGAGAGAGAGAGAGAGAGAGAGAGAGAAAGAAAGAGAGAGAGAGAGAGAGAGGAGGGAGTCAGAGAGATGCAATTAATATAGTTTCTGCGAGATTTTTCGGGTCTGGGTGGTTGGGAAACAAGCAGTCAATTTTGTAAATGGAGACTGCTCATTCATTTCCCGGCCAATCAGACCCAGATAATCATAACAAAAAACTATAGTAATTACTATACCGTTAGACCTATTAGCTCAGGCTTCTTATTAACTAACTCTTCCATCTTAAATTAACCCATTTCTATTATCTGTGTATCACCATGAGGCTGTGGCTTAGTGGTAATCTTTTTTTGTTTTGTTTTGGGTTTTGTTTTGTTTTGTTTTGTTTTGTGACAGGTTTCTCTGTCACTTTGGAGCCTGTCCTTGAACTAGCTCTTGTAGATCAGGTTGGCCTCGAACTCACAGAAATAGATCCCTTAGTGGTAATCTTCGAACAGCTCCATGGTGTCTCTTTGACTCCGTCTATTCTCTCTCTATATTTCCTCCAGTCTGGCTATATTCTGCCCTGCCATAGGCCAAAGCAGCTTTACTCGTTAACCAATAAAAGCAACACATACAGAAGGACCTCCCACGTCAATGGTTTATGAAGAAGAGTGATTTACTTCTTGCTGTTATAGAAGCTTAAAAGTTCAAGACAGCTGGTCAGGGCATCCTTGCCTGCTACAATATGGCAGAAGGTGCCATGCATTAAAGGATGAACACTTGAGAGAGAAGAATCAGGTCAGAGTCGTTGTTGTCAGGAGACGAGGCCTGTGGTAACTGCCCTACTCCCTCTGTAATAGCTTTTGTCTAGTCACTTTTTATTATTTTTATTTTATATGCACGGTTACTTTGCCTGTGTGGGTGTCTGTGCACCCTGTGTGGTCTTGGTGACCTCAGAGGCTGGAGGAGGGTATCAGCTCCCCTGGAACTGGAGTTACAGATGGCTGTGAGTCACCACGGAGGTGCTGGGAATCAAACCTTCATTCTCTGGAAAAGCAGCCAGTGCTCTTAACTCCTGAATTCTCTCTCCAGCTTCACAATTCTAGTTTTGTCTTAAAAGTCCCACTTTTAAATACTGTAGCTATCCTGGCAGGAATGGGGATATTCTACAGAGATTCTTTCTTAGGTCTCTAACCAGAAAGTCTGCAAACCAGCTGGAAACCATTTGACAGTGTACGTGTTACACAGAGAAATGGGCCAGGTTTTAGCGCTGACAAAATCCTCGGCTGGATCCCAGGCTCTACCACTTCATAGTAAATTGTTTTACAACTGAGTAAATTGTTTAATCCCTCTGGTCTTGGTCTTTCCCTTTTGTAGCATCTAAAGGAAAATGACTTTGGGGGTCATTCTGAGGACAAATAGAGCATTTCTAACGTTTCTAGTTCTTTGACGGTATTCAAAACAAAAGAGCAATTCCTGTTATTTGGGAAAAGTGGTTACTTTTCTGTTCATGAGATTTAAAAAAGACTTCAATGTGCCTAAAGATGACTAGTTTCCTGAGCATCCATTTGCTCTCCCAACAATGAAAGAGCAGTAGCTACAAGCTTAGTAGTGCGCTGCCCTTATCTCCAAAGGGGAATTTCGTAGTTTCTCATTAGCTGGTGGTACAGGAAGGGTAGTGCCAATCACCTGATCAGGAACGTTTCAGTTAAGTTCTTCCCCCATTCTCACTTCCCTCGGCCTCCCTATGACAGGAGACTCTGTGTCTTTGCAGTCACCCAAATTCTCGTGGGGAACTTCTAACCCCCAGTTCCTCCTGGTGTGACTTTGTCTGGAAATAGGGTCTTCGCAGATGTAAGATGAGATCGATGGGGTGTGTGTGCCCTGATCCAGAATGACTGGTGTCTGGTGTCACTATAGGAAAAGGGAAGTTTGGACCCAAAACTGACACATAGAAAGAACAGAAGGCATAAAGACACACTGGGCTGGTTGGATACTTTCTCGTGGTGGGAATGACTTGGATACACGGTGGTGAGTGAGCTGTGAGCTCTCTGAGCCACATCCTTCCAGTGCCTTGAATTTCAAATGCTGCACCAAGGCCGGCATCGTGGTGAAGCATTTCCCGGGCCAACCTTCCCGAGAATAACTTCCAGCCAAGTTCCCAGGAGCAAGTTTTCTCTGCCTTTTGGCAGCAGTATACAAATCACTGTAACAAACATGTCTTGACTAAAGACGTATTACACCAGGAGAGGACCCCTGACCAGAATCTCCCATTGGAGGAGACTTCTAACCAGTATGCCCACTGGATGGATTGACTGCTTCCAACCAATCCTGACCACTCACTCATTGTATGTTCTAGAGAACACCACTATTTTGGACCCTCAGAATCAGACTGTAGCCATCTTCACCTGGAACACCAACCAGGCCCAGCTGATGGTGGTGGAGAAAGTAGGTACACAGTAATTACTACTGTGTGCGCTCTAACAGAGTGTTAGAAGGCCTCTGGGAATTCTGGGTCTCTAAAGCTGTCTAGGAATTTGTTCTTACTCTGCTCCAAAGCAACGTGATGAACCCAGATCTTTGAATGCCTTGTGATTTGAATTTCTCTATTTTCCCTGTCTCTGACCTTAAGACCGATATTTAAAGATCTCCAGTGGTTTAGTCATTCCTGCGTAGATAATCTCCCCATCTTAATGTCAACTGATCTGTGACCACAGTTACTGCCACAAAATACCTTCATTGCAACACCCGGATAATCCTCAATATGCCAGTATGTGTCTACCAGGGTAAGAAATCTTGGGGTCATCTTAAGCATTCTTCAGTTCAGCTGCCTTTCTCCTTAAAAATCCACTTTAGATTTAAAGCTAGTAGTTTATCATTGGAGAAAGGCTAATTTTTCTCCCTCTGCCCAAGACACATCTGGTAACATCTGGAGACATTTGGATGACACCTAGTTCGTAGGCACCAGAGATGCTGCTCAAATGGACGGACACAACCTCCCTGCAGTGGATTCGAACCCAGTTATCTACACTCGTAGAACAGTGAACAACTTCTCAGGTACAAACGGAAGTCTCTGCAGCCTTTTTGAGCAGCCCCGAGACTTCAAGTGCGTGACTCACCAAAACAAGAATAGAAGGGATTTCTATAAGAGAACTTTCTGGGTAAAGATCCAGCCAAGTTTTCAGAATCATCAGGATTGGGAAACCGTCTTGTATCGGCGAATCAATCCCACACCAGTTATGTTTTAAGGGGTTATTTATTTTGGGAGGTAAAACTTACATACACCATAAACCGTCAGGAAGGGAGCCTAGTCGCAGGAGCCGGGAGCAGGAGCCAGGAGCAAGCACCGGAACCAAGAGGGCCTGATCTGGATCTGCTTCTCTTTTTAAAAGAGAAATATACCACGCCCCAGTGGGCTGGTATTTCAGCAGCTATTGGCTGACGGAGCGGAAGTCGCTCCCCGCTGCACTGTGGGCTCGTATTTCAGCGACTATTGGTTGAGGCAGCGGAAGTTACTCCCACAACAGTCTTGAAGCACGAAGACAATTATTATGCTATGAAATTTTAGTATTCAGTCTCATACATAGAAATAAATGTGCAAGTGTAGCTGGCAGGATTTGGAAGGAGAGTAGGAAGAGAAGAGGAAGGGTCAGTGCTCTAATGGATGGGAGGTGGATTGACAGTCAAAGGTTACAAATAACGGCAATAAAACTGTCATCAACTAGGGTGAGGGAGAAAGGAAGGGGCATAGGAGGCAGTAGATAATGCTTAAAATCCTCAAACAAACGACACTTTAAGTATTTCATTTGAAATTATGATACTAACCCCCGAAAGCACTAAAACCTCAAAAAAGCCTTAAAAACATTAATCAGGTCTTGGAATAAGAACAGCGTGCAAAATTGAACTCCTTCATTTAAAAAACACAATGGAAAAATTTATAATAAAATGTATAATTTTTAATAAAGTATAAGAAGAATACATTTTTTAAAAGGAAGGCTTATAGGTTAAACTGGGTGACTTATTGTAACTTGTGATAAAGTAACAGTACTTACAATATTGTACACAGTATAAGAGTGATAATGTTTTACTAAGCACACAGCAGTCTCTAAGAGACTTAGTCTTTCAGATACCAAATCTTAACTGCTCACATTACAGTAAAACCCATCTCTTTCTGTCACAAATCCTCGTGACAAATCAACTGAGACAGCAGACAGGCTTCCTTCAGCTCACAGTTTCAAAAGTTTCAGTTCACAATCAGTTGGGTCTCTGTGACCTCTGGGCCTGGGGCAGACAGAATGTCCTGGTGGAAATACGTGGCCAAAGAAGCTGCTTAGTTTCTGGTGCTCTGAAACCAAGACAGGACACACCCCCAGGGACCTGAGTTTGCTCATTAGACTCCACGTTCCGAATTCTCCACTGCTTCCCAGGGGCACTAAGGATGGAAGAACAGGCCTTCCTTCCATACACAAGCTTTCGAGAACACTTACCCAAACCACAACCATCAGCTTTTAAAATATATCACACATACTGTCATTTGTCGTGACCCCAAGTTGTATCAAATTTTGGATGATAGTTACAAGTAGAAATAAAATAATTACAACAATAATTATAACAATAAATATAACAATAATTATATGATTCAAATGATTAGTTGAAAGACTCAAAGATCAATGTTTTTTTTTCATTTTAACTTTTCAACATGCCTATTGTGCCTCATTCTGATTTTGTATTATTGTGTTTTATTACAATTGTAACATTGAGGGCTGTCTTGTTGGGGTTTATATCCTTCCCAGTTCCCCACAGCCAGCAAAGCCCCAAAGAAAATCACACAGAGATCTCCATGAGTTATAAAACCGATTGGCCCATTAGCTCAGTCTTCTTATTAGCTCTTGTAGCTTATATTAACCCATTGTTCTTATCTATGCTAGCCACATGGCTCGGTACCTTTCATACAATTGTGAATTTAGTGCTGCTTTCTTTGGCATTTAGACCTGCACTTTGATGGTGCCGAATGACAGTGGTGTTTTTCCTCGGGATTGCCTGCCAAAGGCATGCCAGAGTTGGACTATCAAAGAATGCTATACTTCCGGATAAAATCTGACAATTGATTCAAAAGACGGACCTGATGAAAAATATTTTGCAAGCCAAAGAGTAATATTTTGTAGTTTCCTCCACTGTGGAATACGTAAAAGGGCACCGGATCAGGTTGAGGCCCGTGTGGTCTATGAAAGTGGCTTTTGCCAATAAACATCTCCCGCAGTGCCGGTGGCAGAGGTTTTAATGCTATCAACCAGATGTGTCTCCTCACCCTTTGGGAACAGCAGGGATAGATTTCCTCTCCCACCTCCATGTCCATATGTCTCAGTCCACTGTTGGGGCTGCGGGGAAAACTAGTAAGAGTCCAGTCATCTGGACGCAGCTTGTCTCTGCCTCTTACTATAAGATGCTGGGCAAGTCCTTTGACCTCTCTGAGCCTCCACTTTTCTTACCCAAACAAAGCTGCAGGATTGTTGGTGAGCCTAAAGAAACTGCAGGCTGCATCGGTTTCTATGAGGGGCGTCAGACAAAGGTTGACCTGGTGATATTTTAACTGACATCAGGTCTAGTACTGCTTCGTGTCCCATTTGTTCCCCAAGTAATCCTAGTAATGCTACTGCCTGGGACTGTCCAAGACACCGAGGACACCTGGCAAACTGACCCTGTTCTAGTGGTGGCCATGGAAATGGGCTTTTACCATGTGTCTAAATATCTCAGTGTGAATCAGCTCACAACACACGGAGGAAGTGGATTAGGAGTTGTTGGTTTTTAAATTGGCTTCTAGAGCCCTGTGGTTGGACATGCCTTTAGTCCTGTTGGTCTGGAAGCAGGCGCAGGTGGATGACTGTAAATTCAAGACCAGCCTGCTCTACTTGACTAGTTCCGGGTCAGCCAGTTTCTGCATATATAATGCTGCTGCTGCTCTGAGAACCACAACAGGAGAGAGAAGTTCTAGGCAGGGAGGCAGAGTTTCTTCTTCAGCTTTTGAGTTTACAACAGGATGGTAGCCATTCAAACCTCTAAGTGCCACTTAGAAAATGATGCTGCAGAACCACAAAGGAAGCAAGAAGGGTGCAGACCCGTAGGGGGAGTTTGAGATGATCTTGACGACCAAGCACATGAATGTGGAATGTGCAGCAAATTCTGAGCTCTACTCTTCTAAAGAGTCCAAGCTATGGAAGAACAGAAGGAAGGGAGGAAAGAAAAAGCCCGAGGGACATTTTTATATTGAAAATACTAAAAACATAAAAATGAATGGCAATGTGTGAAGCTGGATGGGAAAAAATTATGTAAGGGGATCTGGGAAGAAATTTGCGTATAGACTATACAAAATTGCTAACTTTCCAGGTATAAAATGGCTAGTGTAATTATTTAGGAAAATGTGTTTATTCTTGGGTGATACCAAGTGATAATTCGAGAAAGAACTTGGAGCTGAAGTGTTGCTATGGTTTGAGTGTGTTCTACAGATATTTATGTATTGGAACTTGATCCTTAAATCTCTATGTTGTTGGCATTTGGAGATGGGCCTTTAAATTTAACCTTAGTTGAGGTTAAATGAGGCTGCCTGGGTATAGCCTCCCTGATGTTGTTAGTGGCTTTATAAGAAAAGGAGAGGATCCAGTTAGCACACTGGGCTGTATTGCCACATGTCACATTAAGGTTCATTGTAAAGGTCCTCCCAGATGCTGACCAGTTAGTGTCAAGGTCTCGGGCTTTCCCACCTCAGAAATCTGAGCCTAATAAACTTGTGCTCTTTAGAGGTTACCTAATCAGAAACGCTTCAGTAACAGTAAATGGGCTAGACAAAGGTCACGCTTGCAACTTTTCAGATGGTTTAGTGAAAAACCTCTTACATGTATATACAGTGCACACAAACACACAGAAGAGAGAGAAAATATTCACAGTGACTAATGTAGGTGGCAGGTATGTACATAATCCTTGGACCAATCCTTCAGCTCCTCGGTAGGACCAGGGAACTTAAATTTTAAAGTTAAAAGAATTCTATCAATATTATCCCTTTAAATTTTGTGTATAAAGGTGAATTTTATATTTTCAGTTAGTTTTTCAGTTATGTATATCATTGGTCACCTGTGCACATTTTTGTTTGACCTTTGCTTTTGGTGCCAAGGGTTGACCCTCCAAACTGCACAAGTGCTTTACCATTGAACTTACATCCTTACCCGCAACCATCCATTAGCAAAGCAAAACACCATGGGGTGTCCGTAAGGAAGACTCAGGGGGCAAATTTATGACCAACTATGAATCAGTTCACTTGTGGTGTTATCCCCGTAGGGTTTTGTGTCCGTTCTAACCCGGAGCTTTGTGGCTCTGTGACCCGTGCTTCCTCGGGGTGTGACTCTTGCTGTCGCTCTTACGGCAGGGGTTTCCTTTGCCGGTCTTTACCTGCGAGGCTCTCATCCAGCGCTTCAACATATGGTTGTGCGGGCTGATGCAAATCCTTCTGCGTTTAACATGGAGGCTGCCAAGAAAAGGAGAAAAGAAATATCTTCACGGAAATTACAAGTAAAAGCCCGGTGTGGTGGCCCACGCCTTTAACCCCAGCATTCGGAAGGCAGAGGCAGGTGGATCTCTTGAGTTTGAGGCCAGCCTGATCTATAGAGGGAGTTCCAGGATGGCCAGGACTACACAGAGAAACCCTGCCTCTAAAACAAACAAAAACCAAACCAAACAAACAAACAAAGAATTACACCTATATGAAAGAACTGGTGACTTGCAGGCAGCCCCCACTCTTGGATACTGCATTCTTAGGGACTTCAAGTGGAACACTAAGAGGATGTCTGTTGTCCTCAGGGTCAGTCGAGTGTTAAACTGAGGAGGAGGGAAAGGGGAGATTGGATGAAGAGGAGGAGGGGGAGAAGGAGAAAGGAGGGGGGATGAGAGGAAGAAAGGATGAAACCATAGTAACAAACTCAGAGAAAACAATTCTCTTCCCACTTCAAACGTCATCCAACAAAACCAGTTCATCCTTCCCGCCCATCTCAGGCACGTCCTTGTCTGGACCCCCTCGGCTGACGGCTCTCTTCCTTCCCTGCAAGTCACTGTGGAGGTCAGGCCTCTTTGGGGACTTCTATTCCCATGTCTTTTTTCTGAGCACTTGTTTCACTTCTCCTTCCGAAGAAACATTACCTCTTGATGGAGGGAGAATCGAGATCAAATTTTGAAAAGCCCCTATTACAACAGGAATTCAGTAACTCAATTACAGACCTAAAGTCAAATTTGGCCAGTAGAAAAATCTACTAAAATATTTTGGTGTCTGATAAGATTTTATATAATGTAGTTCTAATTACAATTCAGAATTTGGTTTCATTTTTAGGGGGTGGCCCTCACAATTTGGGGTAACTAGAAGAGTTTCTCTTTCTGAAAATTAGGTGACTTTTAATTCTCCACTAGGTGCCAGACAGATCTGGTGAAATGTGGCAAATCCTGCTCTATCTACATGTATAACATAGTTGTGTCCTGATAAACTGAAACCCCCAAGCTTGATATTCACGGGGAGACGGGGGGAGGGGCGGGGAACAGGTTGCTATTTCTCTCAAGGGAAACCATTATCAGATAATGTGTGGAATAGCAGAGGAGACGACTGTGGAAATGCGTGGGTGGGCTTTAGCGTAGGAAAGTCAGACTGTAGGAGGAAAATCAATCCGAAAGGAGCGGACATCCTAATAGAAGACTCTATATTCTCCAAGTGCCTCACATGGAGGTGATTTAGAAATCAGTGCTGATTGTCAGCGGCCAGTTAGCTTCTTTGCTCTTGTGGGAGAAAACTTCTAGCATGGCTGGGCTAGAAAAAGTAAAAACCTAGCTGCAGCTCCTTCCTACCCGCCCAAAGGAGCTCGCGTGGAGAAGCCATAGGAGGCAGAACCGTGTAGGAGCTAAAGGAACAGGCAACCACCACCGCGTAGAAGCCTGTTTCATGGCCGGCCCTGGGAGGGCTCAGTGATGAATACAATCCCCTGACGGTGTTTGGAATCCTCAAGAGTAGGACATGCTGAAGCTCAGCTGGCTCCTAATTGCCCTTTCACTAGGGATGAGGCAACATTGAGAAAGGAAGTAGGTGGTATCCTTTACCCTCCCTCAGACACCCCAGTTTCATAATCCCTAACAGTACCACCAGCTCACCCCATTGTGAATTTCTAGATCAGAAACCAGGGAGGCCTCCTAATTCTTCCCAGGAAGGGTATTGGTACATATAGTCCAATGGACCACGGTGTGGTGGCCTGTGCCTTCAATCCCAGCACTCTGAGAGTTCAAGGTCAGCCTGATTCACAGAGTTCCTGAATGCCAGGACTATGTAGACAGACCCTGCCTCAAAAGAAAAAAAAATACAGTGAATGTGAGTTGTGGTCCTCCTCTCCAGTGAGTGTGGGCTGTGGTCCTCCTGTGGAGACTTTGCCTGGGATTGCTCGCTGAAGTTTATTTCTCCCCCCTCTTCCTTGGAGCATCACTACAAAACTACTTCTGAGAAATTCTAACTTCCTGAATAGCTCCATGGGGTAGGATTGCGGGGTGGACAACAATAACAAACAGATATTTCTTTTTTTTAATATTTATTTATTTATTATGTATACAATATTCTGTCTGTGTGTATGCCTGCAGGCCAGAAGAGGGCACCAGACCTCTTTACAGATGGTCGTGAGCCACCATGTGGTTGCTGGGAATTGAACTCAGGACCTTTGGAAGAATAGGCAATGCTCTTAACCTCTGAGCCATCTCTCCAGCCCACAAACAGATATTTCTATTTAAGAGAAATAATCTCCGTGAAGTACGAGAAACCTGCGCCTCTGCTGAAGATAACAGCTTTTCATTGTGTTTCCGGAAGTTCCTTAATGAAGTCTGGGTAGAGGGGTGGGAACAAGCAAACTGCTGTCTCCAGCAGAGAAAGTACAATGGTCATTTGTTTATAGGGTCAGAAGCAAAGGACTTATTTCCAGGCAGAAAATGGAGCAGAAGAGTCTAGTGAGATCGTTGGTAATTTAATTTCTATGAATTAAATAACTAATTGTAGTTTATAGTATATGCTGCTTGGGTGTGACATCTGTAATACAAGCGATGCTTTCTGCATTTCTGGTCTCAAATCTCAAAGCCTTTTTATGCAGTCATGGTTAAACCACTACATTTTGGACAAACCCAAGTATGCTTCTGTAGTAAAATCATTTGAAAATAAGACTTCTTAGGTTGAGAATTAGAAAGCACAACAGAGAGGATCTGTAACCACCTTAAGACACAAAAATCTAATTTTTTCCAAACATTGACAGACTTTATTGTGGGGGGAATTCCCACTTGGGACCCCACCCTCTTAAATAAAAAAGTAGATAGAAAAGAAAGGATTTAGAAACCTTTGTACAATATCTAGATCCTGGGTCCCCAGGGCAGGAAAGAGTCGATGGCTGAGCGGGCTGGAGGCAGGGCTCTTGCCGCTACATGCCCACATCCACCATGAAGAGGAGGGTAGGAGTGAGACACTGAGAGACCAGGGAGCCACAGGCCAGGGTGAGATGGCAGCAGGCACGTGAGGAATCTGAGGCAGTGAAGGCCTCAGTTAAGGAAGCAACAGCAGTGCTTGACACCACAGTTGTACGGCAGTTGGTAGCTGGCATCCTCCATGGGAAACTTGTATTCATTTTGGAACCAAATCATAACTGCCCTGTATTTTTTAATGTGCTTATCAGCACAGGGTTCAATTTATAAATTTGTACTTTTATAAATCAAATGTTTAAAAACAGAGTTTGGCGTTATAATTTTCTTTTAACTAAAAATTAGTACTTTGTGGGCTGGTACGATGAGTGGTTAAAAGCACTGACTGCTCTTCCAGAGGTCCTGAGTTCAATTCCCCGGCAACCACATGGTGGCTCACATCCATTTATAATGGGTTCTGACGCCCTCTTCTGGCAGGCATGTGTACATGTAGATAGAGCACTCCCATTAAAAAAAATAAAATAATTTGAAAGGCAAAACAAAATAATCTATTTTTAAAACCTAAAGGTTAATTCTTCAATTTCATTTTTCCTCCTCAAAGTGAGGATGATATGGTTTGAATCTGAAATGTTCTCCACTGGCTAAAGTTTCAAACGCCTGCTTCCTGACTGTTTTCCTGTTTGGGGAAGCTGTGGGACCATTCACTAGGAACTGGCCTTTGAAAGCCGTGGCCCGATTCCTAGTTCTGATCGCACTCTGCTTTCTGATCCACCACGACATGCAGATCCTCTGCCACACGCAGCCTCCCACCAAGGACCCCGCCATGTCTTGACGACCACCATGGACTTGAACACTTTAAAACCATCCGCCAAGTAAATCTTTCCTCCACCACATTGTTTCTGTCAGGCATTTTGGTCAGAGAAGGGCATTTGCAAGTGGATTGCACGCAGTGCTGTGACAAGTGCAGACATTGCCATATTGCTTTTTAGATTGTAATTCCTGTTGAATTCAGAGAGTAAAAGTGTCAGCAACTGTCTCCTGTCTGGGGAAAGTCACAGTTTAAAGTGGTGACAAGCTGGAGAGACGGCTCAGAGGTTAAGAGCGCTGGCTGCCCTTTCAGAGGTCTTGAGTTCAACCTCCGCAACTACATGGTGGCTCACAGCCCTCTGTAATGAGATCTGGTGCCCTCTTCTGGCCTGCAGGCACACATGCAGGCAGAACACAATATATACACAATCAATAAGTAAATAAATCTTTTCTTTTAGAAAAAGCATATCTAAAGAAGTGACAAATGACATTGCCATCGCTGACTGCCATTTTGCTCGTTTCGTTCGAATCTCCCTTGTTTTGCTTAGTAAAGCCACTAATGATTTTTGGCGACGGAGGACATTTAACCCCAACACAGCATTATTGGGAGGCTGAAGGGCGAGCATAAGACTCAGGGCATACAGAGGGATTGTGTGTTTACTCCAGGTAGCCTGGCGCCCAAAAGACAGGAGAGTTACTCTCCCTACCCTTGTTTGAGTGCTGTGCTGGTTGTGCGTCAGGTAAGGCATTAGCACCTGTTCGCCAAGGGAATCATCAGTCTTCAGTTTGGCACGTCCTCACTGAACAACACTCACATGACAGCAGCCAAGTCGCAGTCCCCGTCGGCTCTCTGGATGCTGCAGGCGTTCACTCTCTCCAGAAGCCTTCTGGAAATGTGGTGGGAAACCTCAGTGCAGCAGCTGGAAGCGATGGGCAGTATGGCTACAAGAAAGCGGAGGACGCAACATTAGTCTGCAAAATACCGACTTGCCCTCATCCTAAAGGTTCCAGAGAAACACTGTAAACCTACTCAAGCAAGTGCTTCTTGGGGGCTTCATGAGTGCAAAGACAGCACGTGTCTCGACCTTCTAGAACTTAAGCTGTATTATGAGGAAGAAACTGTAAATCTAGGCAAAGGGATAAAACAGGTGAGAGACATGAAAAGCTGCAGCCGGCGACGATGACAGGCTGCAAATGAAGGATGGAGAGGGTGGAGTTAATGGTGGCCCTGGCGACGATGACAGGCTGCAAATGAAGGATAGAGAGGGTGGAGTTAATGGTGGCCCCATGCAGTTAACTCATTTTGAAAAAGAGAGGCCTCCTGGGCCTCAGGTGAAGGCTTGAAGTTTGCTGTTCGAAAGACTCGGTTCGCCTACCGAGTGTGAGGTCACCGGTTTAGTCTCCAGCACCATCAGCAAGAAGCATGGTGGCACACACCTGTAACCCTAGCACTCAGGAACAAGAGGTAAGACGACTATCCTAGTTTGGAGTCAGCCTGGGCTACATGGTGAGATTCTGTCTAAAAATTAGAACAACATAAAAACAAAAGTAAAAAAAGATTCGGAGTCAAAAGCACATGACACAGTTGGGGTGTGTTTTCTGAACTGAGTAAGGTAGGAAGGCCAGTGTTGGCAGATACAGTTCAGGAGATGATGAACTGACATCACTAGATCCTCAAATGATGGTCTGAGGAGGCTTAGCTTTTGTGGAGAGGGGATCACTGTTCAATAAAGACTGAGGAAGATCCATCTTGTTGTGAAGGAGGATTAAGTGGCGGGGAATGACTGGAACGGTAGGTGACATTGGAGAGATATGTTAAGGAAATGGAGGCTTGGTAGGGTAAAACAACTTGTCTAAGCCCACATACGCCTTCCACTGGTAGATTAAATTGTTTCAAAGTCTGAGTTAAAGTATTTTTAATTTTAATTTTTTTTTAAGATGTGGTTTCACTGTGTAGACCAGGCTGATCTTGAACTCACAGAGATCCACTTGCCTCTGCCTCCTGAGTGCTGGCATTAAAGGTGTGTGCCACCACACCTACAGGGTTGCAGCAAGAGATGGGGCATCAAAGACAGCCCAAATACGAAAATGCAGTCCTCGTGTTAAAATAGCTGCAAATCCCTCCATGCCACACGCAGTATTCCCCACGCTTTCTGCTTCACCAACTGAATAGTGGACACAAGATTCACAATGAGCAGCGATGCAGCTGGCAGCGTCACAAGAGAAGCGAGCTTCTGAAGGAATCAGCAACTGGATGGAACATGCAGACCCCTACGCAGTGGAAGTAGCTGCCTTTGGGCTAAGGGGAGAGCTGTGTGTCCATGTCTAACCCAGGGAAGTGCCAGTCTATCCGCAGCTGTGGGGGAAGGAAAGCGACTGACTACGAAATTCAAAACGTGTGACTACTTTCTAGGCATCAAAACTTTGTCACCATTGATTGGCTTACTCACTTGCATATTCGATCATCAAATAAAATACTTTTGTTTTTAGCAGTTAAATGGTTTCTAACATAATTTTAGTCAATGGGAGATGCAAAAATAAGTGAAAGCGTGTGTCCCTCTACTCAAGATCTGTGGTAATAGCTATTTGGAACTAAATGCTTCAGACACAATCCCACTGGCCCGGGTAAATATGCTTCTTGGAGTTGGTTCTGGGGATCAAGCTCAGGTTGCCAGTCTTGGTGGCAAGCAACTGAGCCATCTTGCTGGCCCTATTTCTGGAATCCTGTCCTTCAAAGAATCATACAAGTAATAAGGGCAAGGTGCATATTCATTCACTATGACAAAACTTTTGAGTTCATCTAAAGTTAAAAAAATTTCAATTAAGAAATAATGCATACTCACAAAAGGTTAATTTATTGGGAATATATATGTATACATATCATATATGCACATACTATCAGAGTACTTAAACATATAAATCAAATAGTGACAGTCAGAAAAGAGAAACAAATAGCAAGACACTAGTGTCAGAAGATTTCAGGACTCCACTTTCATGAGTGGACAGATCACCCACATATGAAGTCTGTAAGGAAACCCCAGACTTGCGCAGCACTAGATCATATGTGCACACGTGTGCATACACAACGTCCTATCCAACCACAGCAGAGTGCATATGCTCTTTGCACAGAGTAGTCTCCAAAATAGTTTACATGCTAGGTAACAGAATAAATCTTAAATTTAGGGAGATTGAAATCATTTCAAGTTACCTTTTAGGTATGACCGCAACGAGAAAAGAAAACTGATAAATATATGGAAATTTAACAACACACACTTGAAAAGCTTTTGAGCTAAGGAAGAGATCATAATGGAAACTAGAAAGCATCTTGAGATAAAGAAAATAAAACCACAACACACCTTAACTTGTGGGATATCACGGAACAGCACCGAGAGGAAAGTTTGCTTCAATGAGCAGCTACAGTAAAAAAGAAAGACCTCTAGGAACTTACCCATAATGTCCACCAGTGTCTAAATAAACAGTGTCATGTCTAAGTGAAGTTAAGGATGCGCTAGACATGGATATGCTCTGGTATGAATGGCTATAACTTATAGAAAAGTCCAAGAAAGCCCATTAACATCCTGTCATTTGAGGGGAGGGGTTCACAAGGCCCCACCCTTCCCAGAGAACCATAGGCAGTTAATGGTTGCTTGGGGAAGGAGAGACACTTTCTTCAATGTGGTAGCCACTAGTAAGTGGGGGTAACCAGTGGGTGGATAAGCCACCCATTGTCCTATAAACAACCCTAGCGAAATTCATTGAGTCATAACCAAGAACAGCAGCAGCAAAAAGACAAGAAAATAGAAGGGGATTCTAATTTGGATGAGGATGAAGATCAGCAGAAGTGCAAGGGGATGGGGTGAATATGATCAAAATGTGAGGACGTCATGATAAAACACATCACTGTATAATTAGTATATGCAAATATGAAGATGTCATGATGAAACACATTATTGTACAATTAATATATGTAAATGCAAACTTTGGGGGAAAGAATAAGCGAACTTCATTCCAATGTATTTTTGTATCCTCAGAAAAATAGGACATATGTAGACTCCCCAAATATATGTTAATTATGTGTCTATGTAAGGCTATTCATGAAAAGTCCTCAATAACTTCTAAACAATGCATTCTGGCTAATAACTGTGTTTGAAATACACACTATGCAAGAGATAGAAAAGCATTTGTTCTTCTTCTCGACTCCACTATTTTTTTAAGATTTATTTATTTATTACATATACAGTGTTCTGCTTGCATGTATACTTGCAGGCCAGAAGAGGGCACCAGATCTCATTACAGATGGTTGTGAGCCACCATGTGGTTGCTGCGAATTGAATTTAGGACCTCTGGAAGAGCAGTCAGCGTTCTTAACCTCTGAGCCATCTCTCCAGACCATCCACTCCACTTTTCAAGGGAGGAAAATGAACATTTCCCAGAGTAAACCACCATGTCACAAGGATCTTCCTTTTCCCAGCAGTCTAGAGCTAGTAAAAGGCTTTCATTTTGTCGTGCATATGGGTGTGCACAGAGTCAACCAGATGAGCTAGAAGTAGAGAAACAAAATTTGTCTGGAAAATACTTTTTGAGTGTCCCCCATGTGATAGACTCTCAATCTGAAATATCAAAATAAACAAGACAAAGTATCTGACCTTACAATGCCTAATAGTCCAACAGGAGACTGGAAGAAAAACAAGTTACTATAACCCATGAAAATAAGCACTGGGCAGGGGTGTAGCTCGTTGGCAGAGGGCTTGCCTTAGTGGGTAGCAGACACTGGTCTCCATCCCTAGCAAGAACCAAACAAAGTAAGTGCTCAGTGAGATATGTCCAAAATGCTATGGGATCATACTGGATGAATCCACCCACCAAAGTCCACATATTGTAGGGCTCCGTTTATGTGGAATGCCCAGAATGGGCAAACTATAGAAATGAAAAGTGCATCCGTGGTTGCCAGAGGCTGGGAAGAGGGAAGAGAGCAATCGGTAGCAGGAACGGGATTTTCTTTTGGTGTGATAAAAAAAAAAAAATGCTATAATTAGAGTGACGAAGGTTTCATAAATGTGATTATATTAAAAATCACTGAATTACATTTTAAATCAACTTTGGTGTGTAAACACTAGTTGTAGTTATATTTAATAATACGTTGATTCCCTAAAATCGTCTATTCTTTTAACTGCTTACTCTCCAAGTCACACTCTTAATATCCCAAACAAATTACAGTATTGAGTTTATCCATGTATCCAACAACACATTTATCTACCTCACTGTGTGTGTGTGTGTGTGTGTGTGTGTGTGTGTGTGTGTGTGTGTGTATGCTATGGTTTGATTATGTAATATTTCTCACACATTCATATATTGAACAGTTGGTCCCCAGATGATGGCACTATCTTGGGAGGTGATGAAAATTTTAGGAGATGGGACTTAACTGGAGGAAGTGAATTACTAAGGACATTCCATCCTCTCTCCTTCCTGTCTGCCATGAGCCAAGTGACCTCTTCCATACGATCCCACTGCAGCCATGTTCTGTGTGCCTTATCACAGGCCTAGAGATAGATCAACAGAGTCAAGAACTATAGACGGAAACTTCAGAAACTGTCACACGGAATATCTAATTTCTCCTTTTAGGTTTTTTTTTTTCTCTCAGAAGTAGGAAAACTAATCTGATTATATTGCCATATAAAACTCTCGGAGTGGAACCGTGAGGGGTAGCTAGCTTCAGGACACTGCTCTCAGTGGTGTTCCAAGCCAACTCTAAATCATGATATGTTCCTTCCAGAAGCAGGGTGGGAATAAGAAGTCGCAAGGAAACCCGCGAGTTGAGGACTATGAGTTACCCAAGCGCTGATATCCACTCTAGGCGTAGCTTTAAATCGGAAAGACACCCAGGACCTATAGGTGTTCCATAAAACTGAGATGCACTCCTCATGTACAAATGTAGGACTAGTTCAGCTGGAGACTACTTGATCTGTGAGATCAACTAATTAAAAGGCCATAATCAGCTCAGCATTTAGCGTGTGTTGGTAGTTAGGACCAGCGAGGCCTTGACATGATCACAAGACCGGTAGATTGGATGAAGGTCAGTGTTCAGATTCTGTTGGATGACACTGCCCCCTAGAGGCTCTCTTAAGCAAAGACCTGTCAGCACGTCTCTTATAAAACACTCCACTACTTTGATTTCAGTCACGACTCCAGAATTTTACCTAAGAGAGATTTAGAGGTACCAAGCAGGTTGAAGAAGAGAATTACACTTGAAACTGCTAGTGGGAAATATGAAGGAAAAACATCAAGACCCAGGCATAGACAACGAGTTTCTGAATATTGCTCCTAGCTCAAGGAACAACAGCAAGGCTTGACAGATTGGATCACACCAAACTCCTAAGCCTCTGCACAGTCAAAGGAAACAATAAAGAGACAGGCTTCAGAGTTAAGTCTTTGCCAGCTATTCAGAATCCAGAATGTATACAGAAGTGAAAGAAACCAGGTCCTTCAAAAGAATAAATGACCCTATCAACAAATGGACAAATGAACTCATATTAGACACTTTTCAAATGAAACAACAAAACTAATTCATAAACATATGGAAACAATTTTCAGCATCTTTAGCTACTGGGGAAATACAAATTAAAAGTACAATGAGATTACTTTTTATGGCAGTCAAAGAGATAGTCATCAAAAACAAAAACCGCAACTAAGCCAAAGCAAAATGAAAAGCAATGAATACTGGTAAAGCTACAAAGAAAGGGACCTGATACATGGTTGAGATTGCAAATTAGCACAGCAACAGTAAATAAATAAATAAATAAATCAGCATGGTGGTTTCTCAAAAATTAAAGATGGAACCACTGTGTGATGCCCAAAGAGACTGAAGTCAGTATACGACAGAAATACTCAAACACCCGTATTTGTTATGGAACTATTTACAATACCAAAGTTACTGATCAGCTAAGATGCTCCCAGTGATGCTACAGGCTCAGGTATTTTGGATACTTTCCTCAGTGGGTGGCGCTGTTTTGGAGAGGTTGTAGAGTCTTTAGGAGGTGGAGCTTTGCTAGCGGAGGAGGTATCCCTGAGGGCGGGGTTTGAGAGAGGTGCCTCTGTTTTCGGTAGGCAATGGGAGACGTGATCTCTCAGCTTCCTGCTCCGACTGCCGGCTGCCACGGTTTCCTTGCCTTTACGGACTCCCTCACTGGGACTGTTAATGGACTCTTTCTTCTAGAAGTTGCTCTGGGACAGCAACAAACAGTAACTAATACAGTGCACGTCAACGGATTATAGAAGGAAAATGATAGGAACGGAAAAGGGGCTTGCCACGATTGCTCAGTGGGTAAAGGGACTGACCAGCCTGACGGGCTGAGCCTGGTCTCTGGGAACCACACGGTGCGAGGAGAGAGCTAACTCCTGAAGGTTGTTCTCTGACCCCTACATGCACGTCCCATGGCACATGTGCACACTTCCATCCCCCCGTACAAAGAGAGAAATGTGATAACATTTTTTAAAAAAGGTAGAAGGGGTCTCTAGGAATGTGGAAGGGGGAGCGAGGAGGAGAAAGTAAAAAATGGTAACAGAGAGGTTGAATTGTTGAAAGTACACTATATATGTGTATGGAAATGTAATGAAATGCCAATAAAAGGTGGAATTACAAGTCAATTATTCTGCAACTACATTTCTTTTCTTTTCTTTTCTTTCTTTCTTTTTTTTTTTCTTAGATGACACTGTTACTTTGTGGAGGAAGCTGATACTAGATGCAGGAGATTAAATCTTCCCCTAAAGATTGCCCCAATGCCATTAGTGCAAGAGGCCAGGAATATCACGGGACATAACCTTTCTTTACACAAAGACAGATCTGTCTGATGGAGTTAGCATTCCTCCGAAGGGAACTAGATGACAAATGTAAATTCTAGAGAAGTCTGGCCGGATGGGCTTGTAAATTAGTCCGCACCTATGCACGAAATCCTATTGAAGCGGAAACTAGCCAGAGGCAGTGAACTCCCAGCCGGCTCCAGCTTCACCCGCAACCGGTCCCACGGGTGCCAAGTAGCTTTGGAAAGGACATGGCATAACAGATCCACATCAGAATGCCCTTTCAAAAGTGATTGGTGAGATGAATGAGTGCTGCTTCCTGCTGACAAGAGAAGCAGACACTGAGGTCAGTCCTGGAAGAGGTAGAAATCAGTGGCCGCTAAGCGACTCACCAACCAAGCCGAGCGTATGGCATGGGTAGAAATCAAACAAGGACTACTTCTGAAGCAAATGTCACCAAAGCTTCTTACACGAAGGAAGAACGGCAGGCTACCTTGATGCTATCACATGTAAAAAAATGAAGAGGGCTAAACACACACACTCATATAGCCGTCAATCCAAGTTTATCAATTACAGCCCATTTCTATGTCCACGCTCAGTCGTGCTTTGGAGTAGTCGGCTTCCATCATTTCGTTATAGCAAGCAAGACTGCAATGAACCCCTCCTGAGCGCGCCCTCCTGAGCGCGCAAGAGGGCACTGACTAGTCACTGTGCACGAGACTTTGGTTTAATTGACCTTCAGGGCAGCTATAAGCAGAAGGAACTATCTGTATTCACCCCCTTTTAGCAAAAGCGTAACTAATGTGCAGGAAAGTACATAATGTTCCCTAAGTCAAAGGACCCGGAAACGGTCGTGCTCTGGTTTGAATCCAGATCGTCCAGTCGTTTCGAAAGCCCTGCGGGCTGTACCTGCCTTGCTCTTGTGTACGTCTCCCTGGAGCTGCGCCTGAACTGCTCTTGGTCATCATTTCTCAAATTGTAGCTTGCATCAGAATCATTTGGAGTTATTTTAAGACAGAGGCAATTGTCATCGCCCCCCCCTCACATTTCTGACGAGTAAATTGGGGTGACACCCGAGCATGCGCAGCCCCAACAGCTTCCCGGGTGAAAGTGATATTGCTGTTCCCCGAATACACTTGGAGGACCACAGAACAGACACACACGGGGAATTGCTGGGCTGCGGGATGTGAGCACCTGCGTCTGTATTTCACCATGCCAAAAGCTCTGCAGTGATTATGTTTATTTACATTTACGGATGGACTAGAGGAGAGGTACGCTTTTAACATTTTTCAATATTTCATAATGTTACCTTGAAATGTTACCTTTGCTAGGACTGAAGTGTAACTCGGAAGACGATCCTGGATTCGGTCCCTGGCACCGAAAAGAAAATAACTGAGGGCAATTTACAGAAATCTCAACGGGACTGTTGGAGACTGTCTTGATTAGTTTATATTGTTAACTTGAACTTCAGCTGAAGGATGGCTTCCATCATTGGCCTCTTGGCATACCTGTGGGCATTTTCTTGACTGTTAAGTGACCTAGGAGGACCCAGGCCACTGTGGGCTGTGCTGTCCACAGGCAGGCTGCCTTGGGTTCTGTAAGAGAGCTAGCTGAGTACAATTCAGTGAGCGAGCCAGTGAGCATCGATCTTCTCTGGGTTTTCCTTCAGCTCTTCCGTGGTCCCTGCTTTGATTCCGCCCGACGATGGACTGAAGGCTGGAGCCCTGAGTCGTGTAAGCAAGCTCGTTCCTCCTCCGAACTGTTCTTCCTCCGAGTGATTTGTCACAGTTAATAGAAGAGTGAACTAGGTCCAACATTGATCTTTTGCTGATCATTAAAAATGTTTTCCCCAAAACAACTTTCTCAGTTTTTCTTTATTGTTTGCTACTTGTGTTTATTTTCAAAATCCCATCATAGTGAGAAAAAAAAATAGTCTTTATCTTTACAGCCAGCCTTTATTATATGTATATTATGAGTCAGAAATCTTTTTTAAAATATGGCTACCTATTGTCTTAGAACTATCAGGGTGAACTAATTTTTTTCTCTATTTATAAAGAACAAAGAGACCATTTTCCCCTTTCCTAAGAGAATTTTTTAGGAGACGTAGTGAATTTGTACGTTTACATTTAGAATAATATAATAACATGTGTAGAGAGTGAATTTGTACGTTTACATTTAGAATAATATAATAACATGTATACTAATATGCTGTTCTTTTCTTTTAGTGGGACAGGGCCTTACTCCGTAGCCCAAGGTGGCCTCAATTTTGTGATCCTACTTCCTTGGCCTCTTGGGTGTTGAAGTTATGGGCAATGCACTGCCACTCCCCCTAGCAATATTAAATATTCTCAGAATTAGCTCCCACAAAATGTGTAGGGACTACCAGGAGGTACAAATCATCTTCGGAGGAGATGAGAATTTAGTCTTTCTCTTGCTCTGCTGTGCACAGCTCTGTGCTAACTTCACAGTCAGATTCATGCTCCCCTACATCCTGGTAACCTGTCCGTGCCTATCCAATGATGTAATGTGCCCACCTTTCTCAATTGACAGGACAGGTCTTTTGTTGGCAGAATTCTGCTTCCCCAACAGAACCGCCATGCCTTCCTGATGCAAGACACATACCCCCTAAGTATTCAAATGTCTGTGTACACATAGGTCTGTTTCTGGATTTTCTCTTTGATTCTGTGCTGTTTACCTATCTGCATTGTGCTGGCCAGTCTTAGGTCAACTTGACACAAGCTAGAGTTATCTGAAAGGAGGGAACTTCAATTGAGAAAATGCCTCCCTAAGATGCAGCTGTAGGGCATTTTCTTAATTAATGATCAATGGGGAAGGGCCCAGCCCATTGTGGGTGTTCCCATCTCTGGGCAGGTGGTCCTGGCTCTATAAGAAAGCAGGCTCAACAAGCCATGGGGAACCATCCAAATAAGCAGCATCCTCCATGGCCTCTGCATCAGCAATTGCCTCCAGGTCCCTGCCCTGCTTGAGTTCCTGCCCTAATTTCTTTTGATGATGAGCTGTTATATGGAACTGCGAGTGAAATAAACCCTTTCCTCCCCAAGTTGCTTTTGATCACGGTGTTTCATCATAGCAATGATAACCTTACGGCATGTATCAATTCCACATTCTCAACCACAATTTTTTATACTAAATCTTGATCCAGATGCAGTAAATCTATCCATGAAGTTTATTCTTCACTACTTTGTTGTCCTTGGTCTTTTATCCTTCATATAAATTTTAGGCACATCTTATCTTGGATCTATTTATAGGTACCTAATAGGTTTTATCCTATTCTGAATGCTCCTGCCTTAGACATAGGGTCTTACTATGTAGCCCAGGCTGATCTCCAACATTCAATTCTCTTGCATCAATCTCCTGAGTGCTAGGATTATAGGCATGTGTCATGCCCTCTACCTGAATAGACTTTGAAAATACACCTGTAAAAAAATTAGTTAGTTTGATATATAAGAAGGCAATATATTGGAGGCTGGAGAGATGGCTCAGCGGTTAAGAGCATTGCCTGCTCTTCCAAAGGTCCTGAGTTCAATTCCCAGCAACCACATGGAGGCTCACAACCATCTGTAATGAGGTCTGGTGCCCTCTTCTGGCCTCAGGCATACACGCAGAAAGAATAGTGTATACATAATAAATAAATATTTTTTTAAAAAAGAAGGCAATATATTGAGCTACAGGGAACCAGAGGCAGGGTGATATCAAGCTCAAGGCCAGACTGAACTGTGCAGCAGCACACAGAGACATACAGACATACGTACACAGACACACACACACACACACACACACACACACACACTTTTCCTTTTTAGCCTGCTACTCTGCTAACTGCCTAGAACAGTGCCTGGACCAGGTAAGATGAATACACAATCTTCAAATTAGTCTGAATTAACCTACTTTTCTCCCTTGTGCAACCATGATAAATTTTTCATTTATTGGTCATAATTTGTTAATTTATTCACCCCCTTGTTTTTGCTTGTCTAAAAATCACATCTGTGTTCAGAAATTGGTTTACACCTTTATTGCTCGATATTATCTTTGGGAGATTTGAGTAGTAAGGCTATATTCATGCTAATGATGCACTGGGCAGCTTTCTCTGGTTTTTAATTCTGAATTCTTAGAAAAAGTTTACATAAGGATTATTTGTTCCTTCAGTTTTTGGTAAAATCTCCAGGCACTGGGGGCTTGGGTCTGAAGGAAAGAAGTTTAACTGATTTATTTTAATAGTGATTGGATATTTATATTTTAAAATTATTCACTGAAGGGCTGGGGTTGAAGTAGCTCAGGGGTAGATCACTTGCCTGGCTATGTGTGTAAGGCCTAGGTTTATTCTCCAGTACTGTTTCCAAAACAAAAAGCTTTTTGAAAGTTTGCTAAGAAATTGTTCTTCTTATCCACAATTTGAAATTTATTATTACAAAGTTTCATAGTTATCTTGTTGTGCTTGTACTTACAACAACAACAACAACAACAATAATAATAATAATAATAAATACGAAAGGACACTAGCTCACTCGAGCTCGTGGCTCTGGCAAACCCTACCCTTCTCCCCCCTTCCCTCTGCCTTGCTAAAAACCTACATTTCTAAAGCTAGCCACGAAGGTCTATTCCGTTATTTGGCCACTTCCTTCTCCTGAGGCTGATTACCAAGGTCCAACTATCAAAGTATCAAACTTCAGCAATCAAAAGCCCCCTTTGGTTCACCTAATTAACACACCCCATCAAAATATACCACGACATCCTAGTCCATTCTGACACAGACCTCACCTTTTTTCTCTTCTTAAAAATTAAACACTCGCAAGGTCATTTGCTGCTGTTTTCTGTCTGAGTCAGAAAGCAGCCACTTTAACTTTTCTTTCCTGCTTAATAAAGAGTATGTGAAAACAGGTGTTTGGGTGTGATTTGTGCCTAATTCTGGAACCGAGAGGCAGCCCCCATTGTTTGGGGTTTTCCTTCAATATAATAATTTTTAAAAGGCTTATGATTGCATACTGTGTTTAAAGAGCGTTGCCTATGCAAAATAAACATTTATAAACTTAGTTTGCTTAGAAACTAAAAGATTTAAAACTCATGAATTAAAGTGGAAATCACAAAACACCAATAAAGAAGTAAAAAAAATACTATTTATCACGAATAGGATAGAGTTAAGTTTAGACGTCGGTGTTTTCATTTAAAACACACAGAGAACAAAATTGGACGTCTCATGAACCTGGAAAAATTAAGTCTCGGGAAGCCGGAAAGCACGCCGTGGCGCCGCTTTACGGCTGTCGTGCCAGGTTCGCGTCAGTCGTGCTGCTCACGTCTCGGAGTCACCAGCAGCACGGCCGCCAGCAACAAAAACGGTGTCGATCAGTGTGTTACTGTGGGGACACCCTGCTCTCTTGCGGTCTCTTCTGACGCCAGCTTGTGCGTCCTAGAGAGGGAACCCATGCCACCGGCCTCTGCTATCCCCGGGTCTGGCGGGCGAGAGGGAGTGCGCATGCACACCCTTCTGTTTCCTAGATGGTCCAGGCCAGCCCAAAGACTCCCTTCCCCATCGTGGATCTGTTTGAGGATATCTTCATTTCTGAAATCAATCAGAAGTTGTATAGTGTTTTCAGATTGCCAGGGAAACACTGTAATCACAGTCATATTTAAGTGCATTAAAAATGGAATTTTTAGAAACTGTGACTAATATAATACACACTTAAGTGTATTAACCTTGCTCTTCCAGCATTCCGCTCACTTGCCTCGCCTGGTCTGTGCCCTGTGTGTTCAGCTTTTGATGAAATTATTTCAGATTCTTGTATTCCTATCTCCATTACAACTTTTTGTTTAAGTTTTTTTTTAATATTAACGTTGCTACACTAACCTTTTGTTCAGTATTTGTCAAATACATTTTTCAGTTTGCCTTAGTTCCGTTTAAAGGAGGAATGCTGGGTATTGCGTACCCACCTATCCATGCTAAGCACATCATACGTGGGAACTACACCCCGGCTCTTTGTCTTCAATTTTAGTTTTTTAGAAACAGGGACTCACTGTGGAGTCCATCCAGGCTGGCCTCTAACTCTTTGAAATCAGCCTACTTCTGCCTCCTGACAGGAAAAGACACAGAGAATGAGACTTTAGAACCCTCAGTCCTAAATGGTACATCTTCATCAAACTCCTCAAGGCTCAGGGATTTATGTGGAAGAGGAGGCAGAAAGATTGTAAGAGCCAGAGACGATGGTGGCTCCAAGGAAACAGTATCTTCCAGACCACAGGACCTGATGTACTTTTCAACTCACAGAGACTGTGGCAACAGAAACTGGACCTTCACAGGTTCAAGCCAGAGAGGGTCCCAGGGCCAAGAGGAGCAAGTGGACATAGACTTCCACCCCTAACCAAAAAGCCATCTGCAGCGATGCCCACTGACAAAGGAAAAATTAGTTTTTCCAATGAAGTCTCACTGGTTTATTAACCACACTTCAGGGTAGGCCCCAGTCTAGGAGTGGCCTGCCAACACAAAATGAACTCAATGCTATTTCTGTAGTCACTTTTGTCTCATTTTGCTTTGAACATTTTTTGTCTTATTTGATCTTCTGCTTTGCTTTCGTGTGTGTGTGTGTGTGTGTGTGTGTGAGAGAGAGAGAGAGAGAGAGAGAGAGAACCCAGGGCCTCCTGTGGGCTAAATGCTGTCCACTCAGTTGTATCCTAATCCCACGTTTTTTCAATTGATTTTAAAGATCACCGGGCCAGTAAGCTAGCTCAGTGAGAGAAATGCTTGTCACACAAACCTGACAACCTGAGTTAAATCCCAGAACCCACATAAAAGTGGAAGGAAAAAAAATCTACCTCACAGGGTTGTTCTCTGACTTCCACATGCACATATGCGTGGGTCTGCCCCATTCCATTATAGATAAAAACACCAATCAATTTTTTAAAAAAAAAGTCTAAAAATAGAAAAACCTGTGGGAAGGAAAGGAGGGGAACCAGCAACTGCTGAACGTCTACTCTTTGCCAAACACCATGTACGTGATATCATTTAACCATGAGGATAACTAAGAGAAATATTGTTCTATAGAAAAAGAAATGGGTTATGAGAGACAAAGCAATTTCCCTAGTTCATGTTTAGAGCTCTTAATCTTGTAATCCAAAGCCCATCCATCCCCGTATGTCGGCATTTCTCAGACTGGGTTTCCTAGACCTCTGGAAAAGTCCAACATAGGCTTTCCCCATGACCATGAACTCTCCAGAGAGCCAACGTATTAGTCCAGTGACCTTCTAGCCAGCGTGCCCTGATCTTCCCGAAGGCCATTTTAGCAGAAGACTTTGAGGACATTGGATTTGTCATGGTAATTTGTCATGGGGTATCTTCATTGCCCCAGGACCACCAGAAAATAATCCATTGGACTTCTCAATGCATTCACACTGAGGGAAGTCCAAGTTCCTTCCATCAGTGAGGTTCAAACGGAAATAGGGGAAGAGCAAACACTTGCCAGCCCACCTGGCAGGGCATGCGTCAGACCCATACTCAAGCCGCCCCCCCCCCCCCGCCAAGGGGGCAGTTCTGCTCACAAGAGCGATTTCACTTTCAGTCAAACTCGATTAAATCAATGTCAACATAGTGAATCCACCTCGACTTTGTAGTCGTGTTTTTTTTAATTTTGAACATTTTGGCATTGTAATTGTAGAAGTTGTTTATAATTGCACATTTTTTCTTGATTTGTTTACACGTGAAGGAACAGTAAGACAATTTAAACACCGAGAATAAAGAGGGTGCTTCCCTTCAAAGCAACCCACACATGACTCAAGTTGGAAAAGACTACCATTGTATTACACCGTTTCCTTAACATAGAAAACGATGTTAAAAAAAATACCTGTAACCACATTACAGATACAACCACTCTTAGGAACCAAAATATAACAGTTCATCGATGATCTAGGATTGAGGAACTACACAATGTTTTAACTACAGGGTATACCCGATGAGAACCTGAAGGAAGCAGGTTACCATTACGTCATGAACCTCTGCTGTGAAAGATCCCTACCTGGAAGAGCTACTTTCCAAACACAAACACATACTGGGAATCCCTCCTATAAATGCTTTGGTAAGGTCGTTTCTTAGCATCAAGTGTATAACAAGTTATCTGCGCGATTCAGGAGCCATTGTGATGGTTGTGAGACAGTAGGCCGCTCGCAGATAACTTAGGATCCATGGATGAAGCAAAAGCTTACAACCTGCATCTTTTGAATACAAATGAAACCTGAGTTAAAGTATAATTAAGATGACCTGGGGCCAGAGAGATAGCTCAGTGGATAAAGGCATTTGCTGCCGAGGTTGTTCTGAGTGTGAACTCCAGGGATCACTGGGTCGGAGAAAACTGAGTCCTATAAACTTTCCTCTGACCTCCACATGGTTCCAAGGAGGCCCCCGCCAAACATAGATGAAAATGTGCTACATACACACACACAGTTAAGTGAAGCCGACCATGGACTCTGGAGTTGGTTAAACAATCTGGCTCAGGGTCACTGGATGGCAGACAATGCTCATGGACTCAGCAATGAGTCTTTGAAGCCAGCAGCCACATCAACAGACGTAGGGTGTGCTTGCTTCTGGATGGAGTCCAGGGTTTTGGTCACGGATAACATCCCCTGCTTCCTGAATGATTTGGAATGCTTTGGAAATGCCATTTATTGAAGCAGCACGTTGAGATAATGATTTAAGATGCCATTAAGATAATGGGACGGCATTGTCCCTGAGAGAACAAAATGTGTTTCCCGGTCTCAGATTGGCACAGGCCACTTCCTTGTACCCCTCTCCAGTCTGCTGCCATGGCCACAGCCACCTGTCATCTTTTCTACCCGGCCATGTCTTCCTCACCTCCCTCCCTGTTTGGCTCTCTACCACCATCTTGGATCCAGAATCATTACCATAGGGCACCCTCCCTTAAATGGAAACTTACTAAAGAAGACCTGGCATTGGGCCTTCTTAGTTCCACAACTGTTCTCGGCCCCACTTCCATGAATTTTAACTCAATATCTTTCTTCAAGACAGGGTTTCTTTGTGTAGCCCTGGCTGTCCAGGAACTAGCTCTGTAGACCAGGCTGGCTTAGAACTCACAGAGATCCACCTGCTTCTGTCCCTTAGAGCTGAGATGAAAGGCAGGGGCCACCACTGCCTGGCTATTTTTAGAGTTTTTTTTTTTTTTTTTTTTTTTAAATGTGTTTTGCCTGAGTTGTGTTTGTACCTAGCGTGCATGCAGTGCCCAAAGAGGCCAGAAGAGGGCACCAGATCCCATGAACCTGGAGTTACAGACAGGTGTGAGCTGCCTCGCAGGTGCTGGGAATGGAACCCAGTTCTCTGCACGGGCAGCCAGTGCTATTAACGACTGACCCATCTCTCCACTCCACCGCACATACAGACAGCATCACTTATTTTAAATGGCAGAAGTCGGGGCTTGTCAGACAGAGTGGTGGTTTCCCTGTTTCAAACAGACTCCAGTAAGGGCCGGAGGCTGGACCACATGCTGGGAACCTCAGTTCTCCGGTTATCGCCGCCAGACGTGCTCTTCACCGTAGCTGTTTGTCTCTTACCCCTCTCTTCCAGGACCCAGCCTCTGTGAAGTTTGGTGCTGCAAGGCAGAGCCGTCCTCATTCTTGGCCATTCTACCCTTCCCTTCCCCGGAAAGAGGGCTGCTGGGGGTGCGGTGTATGTGCAGCTGGAAACAGATCCGGCAGTTGGAAGCTTCATCACAAAGCTCTGCATGAAAATCTTATTGGGTAGAGTTGTAGACGGTGGGTGTCACACCTGAGCCAGTAAATGGAGAGTCCCTGCAAGTCCTGCAGGCGCAAGGGTGAGCTTCCCTGGAGAGATATTGTGAAATAAATGAAAGCTTCCTTCTCTATCTTGTTAATAGAAATGGAAGAGGGGGCCAGGTATTTCCTCTTCTGGTTCACTTACGCCAAGTACCTTGCCGGACTCCACTGAAGTCCTTAAGCAAAGGCTGACAGGAAGCACACTGTTGGCAGGACGTAGATCACCCCAGGAGAGGGACAGCTGCCACCAGCTGCAACCAGTCCAAAGAACCACCGTTGCCAAGTCTGAGGTTTTTGTTTTTTGTTTTTTGTTTTTCTGCGCAGGGCCTTGAACCCACGGCCATGTGCTTGCTTGGAGGGTTCTCTGAGCTACACACCCAGCCTCCAACTTTCACTTCTAAGAGAAGCTCTAAATTCAGTGTGTGTGTGTGTGTGTGTTTGTGTGTGTGTATACAAAGGTGTGATTGTGAAATTTGTTTTGAAATGTTGGCGTGTGTGCTTAAAAAACAGACTAGACAAAGTATATACTCCACCTCGGCTCTGCAAACTCTGTTTAGGATGTAGCTTAAGAAAAGATAACCGGAAGGGCCACATCATCCGTAACTTTCTAGGCGTCGAGGGCTTTTTTTCTTTTTATTCTTTGGGGGTGGAGGATTAATGCTCTACTTATAATCTATCTTTAGGGAGACATTCTACTTGAATTTCCTGTGGCCAATATCAGTGTAGTGGTTCATTCGCTTACATATTCCAGGCGTTAATTAAGTGCATCAGGGTGTGGTGGTTCCTGCCCATAATCCGAGCATTTGGGAGGCTGAAGCAGAAAGGGCTGCTGTACCTCTGAGGCTAGTCTGCGGGGTGTTGTGGGTTCTAGGCCAGCCAGGGCTGCCGAGTGAGCCGCTGTAGATTAGCGGTAGAGGAGATGTTCTTAAACGCGGCAGTGGATGCTGCCGGAGTGGGTGCCTTACAGTCCAAATGCAGTTGCGATCCACATAGTTATCACCAACACAGACGTGACGTTCTCTTCAGTACACTTGGCATGGCTCGGTCTTCTCGGTCATGCTCCCCTTTCTAAGGGCTAGACTGAAGTACCCACAAGGCTGCTCAAGAAACCTGGAGCTTACCTGCCAACACCGTTTTTTTTTCCTCTAGGGAAAAAAAAGGCATACACAAACACAGAGACACAAATGTACACACATGTGCATGCAGATACATGTATGCAAACAATCAGACACACAGAATCCAGCTGTCTGAGGCATTTGGATGGAAAACAATGGCTCTGCCCAGCTTCTAGCTGGGAAAAGCTAGTGTTCTGCCACCAGAAAGTCGCACCTGCACGGAAGGCTTCATCTCTGAGAGTGGATTGATTCATATTCCCGGGGAAACGAGTTCCTCCCCAAATCCCTGATCTTGAACCTGTGCCGTTCTCCAGATGAACAAAGAGCAACAGAAAAGTCTCATCCGAAGACAGAGACTACTACAGCACCAACTTCGGAGGCATTCACCCCCACTCTTGCCCTGGAACCCCAGGCCACTGGTGCCCCCAACTCACCTTCTGAGGTCCGAAGAGCCACACACACAGCCGCAGCCACGAGGGTAAGCCTTGCCTGCTGCATTCCTGCCTGAGCCACTGAGTCTGGCAGTGACTGGAGCGAGGCTGTGCGGTCAGGAAGTGGATGCAAAGGTGTCCTTGGGTGCCGAGAAACAGCAGAAGTAGGCCAGGTAGCCCCGCCCCGGGAGGTTCTCAATTTCTTTACCGCCAGATTCCAGCGGGCGGTTAATTCCCTGCCTGGTGTTTGTTCACGTCGTCGCCTGGGACTAGAGAACATCTGTGACGGTGTGGCAGCTGAGGTCCTAACAGAATCACATGGATGCCATTGAACATATCTGCCAGCTTCCATCTACACACCGGAGTTCTAGGGTAAGAGCATCGTTTGAATTTCATAGAAGCTTCGTGGATGAATCTGATGGGCGCTTCCGTTGGGAATTATTGCTTCAAAGAAACTGTTATTTTTGGCTCGCTGGTGATCACTCAGGAGAGAGAGATAAGCGATAAGCGGATCTCGGTGAGTTCGAGGCCAGCCTAATCTACAAGAGTGAGTTCCAGGACAGATTCCAAAGCTACAGAGAAACCCCGTTTCAAAAAAAAAAACAAAACAAAACAAAAAACAACAACAACAACAAAAAACTAAAAAAAACAAAAACAACAAAACAAAGTAAAAGTTATTTACTTTTCTATTTTTAGGGGTTTGAGAGAGGGAGTTTCTGGGGATAGGGTGATAAGTCATAAAAAATGATCTGCATAGAAAGATAGGAGAAAATTTACCAGGGCTTGGTGTGCAGTTGGGTTTGGGTTTATTTGGGAGAGAGACCAGGCAGGCCGAGAGTAGTGACTGTGAAAAGGCCAGGGTAGAGTGAGGAGTCCCCTGTTGTAGGCCAACCTTGTTGCCGATCAGCTTCCTGTGAATCCATGGGGCACCACAGATGGCTGGATCCTAAAACTGCCTCTCCCTCTGAGCAACCGCAGGCACCATAGCTGACTTCTCTGTAAATAATGATGCTTTCCAACATCATGCCTTGCTCCCTCAAGAGCCATGCAGGGACCATGCTGGGTAGCTCTGGAGTACCTGACCAAATTCCAGAGAGTGACAAAATAATTAAGGAATCTCATTAGATATCATGGCATACTTAAAATTGTTAAAAATATTTCATTCATCCCTTCGGTTAGTTTTCTGTTCTGAGACAGAGTCTTCTGCAGGCCGGGCCCTGAGATGTGTGATCCCACTTCTCTGCCTCCCGAGTGCTGGGATTATGGGTACCACCACACCTGACCTCTTTCTGATTTTCTAGACTGCCTCAATGGTGTCCCCCTATGACCTCCTCCCAAATTCGTATTGAAACTTAATCTCCAAACACAGCACTGTTGAGAGATGAAGACGGACAGTAGGTTCTTAGGCCGTGAGGTTTTCTACTTATGAGCACTCTTAAGTAGAAAAATGCCCCAATAGCAGGCCCACAGAAGCGGGCTGTGTGAAGGATATAGAAGTGGACCCTAACGTGGAACCAGACACTTAGCTTACCAACACTCTAATCTGAGACTCTCAGTCTCTGTAACTATGACAGAATAAATTTCTACTTCTTAAAATTATGCAGCCTTAGATACTCTGTCATAGCAGTGAAATGGATTAATACCATTACGTAGTTCCTGCCCAGAGTAGCTCCGTTTATACATAGAGACAACACATCTGTAGTGAGCATTGCTGCTGGAGAGCGTTCAGAGCTCTGAATCCAAATTAGCCCCAGCTGCCAACCTATGATTTCACCTCCAAGGGACAGATCTATTATAAGACAGACAACAAGGGCTTCGGGGAGCAACAGGCTAACGCAAACGGTAGCCACCCGACTGAGAGGCCCACAAAGCATCTAGTCTGGCCTTTAGCGGTCGGCAAGGGCCTTCCTTGCTCATGTATGTTAGTCATGTGTGTTAGTGGAGAACCTGTAGTGCTGACTGTGAAAATTCTGGGGAGCCATATGCACCTGCCCTGGCCGCAGCAGTCTGCCTAGACCAAAGTCTGTGCTAGGAGTCAGGGAAGCTGCTCAGAACCTATTGCGTGAGGATTTGCAAACGAACACGTGCTAACTAGCATTCACCTGTCTGCCTGGCACCTAAAATATCCACCTGAGTCTCTCCCGATGGGTGGCCTTCCTGTGTTAGAAAAGACTGTTCAGATGAAGTGAAGGAGACTAGTGGGTAATAAGAGGTTTTTAACTAGACGGGACAAACATTATATTACACAGATGTTATTGAGCACTGCTAAGAAAGTGATTTTGATGAGCTGAAGGTTACAGACCCCCCTTCCCCGTGTATGGAGCATGTGCTTCTCATTTGTTTCTGTCATTGTGCCTTTAGCTTCTGCTGAAAAGACCACTGTGTCCCCCACCAGAAGCAGGTCCAAGGCAAGTTCTGAGGATTGCACAGCACAGGGAGGCTTCCTGAGTTATAAACTTCTTCTCTCTCCTTCACATCACTTCCTTGGGGCCCTAGAATGAAATGATGGTTGGGTAGGGTCACTAGGAGACATATTTCACAGCATTGTAGAACCGAGAGGATTAAAATCCACTCGCGGAATGACGATGATGAGAATCACAAGCTTAGATCAGGGTTCACCTCATCGCTGTGTTACAAAGTAAACCTGATGTCCACTAACAGGAGGCTATAGTCCTTGCAGGGTCCGGCGCCACATCCTTCTGGACCAAGACCCAGGTGAGAGAAATACTGGGGTGGACTGGTTTAGGTTAAGGTGAAGGAAAAAGTGAATCATGAGGCTTTGCCAAGAGAAAATATGGTGTAAGCTCTGATGATGGACTATGTGATGTGTTGAGGGGAGTTCTTTTGGAATAAATCCAGCCTGTGTCCAGGAGGCCACATGTGGTCCAGGTTAGCTATGAATGTGGCCCGATGTATTTGTAGATGACAGCATCAAGTCGCAAAATGCCAAAAAGTTGGACGTCCCTGCACATGAACCAGTGTTAACTCAGAAAGACCCTAAAATGGTAGTATATATTAGTGGGGCTCGTTATAACAGTAGATACCCAACATGGCTGACTTATAAAGATAAAAGGTTTATTTATTTCACTCACAACCTGGGAGGTCCTAGGATCAGAGTGTCATCAGTTTGGAGCTCAGTTAAGTCAAAACACAATGGAGATGCCTGTGTCCAGGTGGGTCTAAGGGGCCTCCAGTATCAAACAGGAAGCCAGATGGGAAGAGGTTGGCATCCCACAATCCTTTGTGAAGGTGTACCTTTGGGTACCACTCAAAGACTCCATCACTTCCCAACAGCAACCCCCTGGGGACCAGGATTTTAATCACAGTCCCAGGAAGGATGCTCGGCTTCAGACCACAAGTGGCTTCAGAAGAATTTTTCTTATTTAAATGAAGCCGTGGATGAGAAGATAGGAATGGAGTGATATTAGGGCACAGGACGAAGCTGGAGGGTAGAGAGTAAGAAAGAATTTGAGAACACTGAGGACGTTAAATGATGTGGGGCTTTGTGCTTTCTACTGTGAAACATCCCTTAGGCTAGGAAGCTCCAGCTGTAAACTTCTACAGATTTATTTCATGGTTAAGAAAAATCAGATAGTTCAAAGAGAAGTGAGGTGACCCGGATGGGCCACGAAGGGGGATTATGCTTTAGGAAGGAAGTCAGGAACAGAAAGGCAAAGGCTAGGAGTTCTTGTATATGGAAGCTGGGTGTGGAAATCCACAGTAGGCAGGTGGTCTCCAGAGTCTGAGGAGGGTTGGGGTCAGATGGAGAAGGATGGGTACCAGGCTTGAGGGTGCAGCTGAAGAGGAGAAGCAATGTTTGATGTTCCGTGGCACGAAGCATAACTAATTAACAGTTTCTGTGCGAGGATTTGGGTCCGAGCAGTTACAGGTGTGCACAACTGACTGAAGCGAGTACTCCTGTGTGCTTGCTTGAAAGATCACCCCAGCCCCGGGACCCTACACCCAAAGAGTCTGGGATGTTTGGGTGGAAAGTTCCATCCCAAGTCTCCTCCCCTGGGAGTTGCCTCAGTCCAGACTCCACCTCAGAGAAAGCCTGCCAATCTGTGACCCCTCCTCAGAGATGCTGAAGACCTACACTCCTATAGAATTTTAAAACTGCCCCCCCCCCGCCCAGAGAACAAACATGTGGTTTTCCATTCTTCCTTTCCCATCTCCTCTCTGAGGGCTTGGAAGGACACCCGGGAGCATTAGTATCCATTCAACCTGGGCTTTTTCCAATTCGGTTTGATTTGGTCTGATTTGGAGAGGTTTATTGGGACACAGAAACTTTCCATTGTGTGACTTTCTTGATTATTTTAACTGCTGAATATTCAGATCACTTGGTTGTGTTCTTTTTCTGGTGTATATTATTACTAAAACAATCTTGTTCCTGGGAATCCAGCTGGCAGCCTTGTCCTTGCTCATCAAGTACTCCATTACCAAGCTATACTCTCTCCAGTGGTACTTATTATGACCAAAGCAATGCGTTGGTGGTCAGTCTTGTAATCTGTGTCCACTCATCCTGATGTTTTCTTAAGTAAATTCTTAGGAATGATTTCTCTAGGGCGTGGGAGGTGTCTCAGTGGGCTAAGATGCTTTCCACACAACGGTGAGGACTTGAGTTTGGATCTCAGAATCCATGTCCAGGCAGAATTTGACAGTACACATCTGTATTCAGAGCACTTCCACTGTGAGATGGAGGAGGAGCCAGGAAGACCCTCAGAGACTCGAGGGCCAGCTAGCCTGGTGTGCACAGGAATGAACAATATACCTGTCCCAGCGACATGGAAGAGCAGGGCTGACACCCGAGGTAGTCCTCTGACTCCATGTCTGTAACAGACACATAAACACACACACACACAACATGTACACACACATGCAAACACTTTTTAAAAAGGCATCAGAATTCTAAGAATGTATGCTCCTCTGAATCACTTTTAATATAAATTCCCACTTCTCCCATGGCCTGCAAACATCTCTGCTCAGCCTTTCTCCCGAACTCAGGAAGGGAAGGTGTGTGAACAGGCTCCTCACTATACCAAGTAGTTAGCTCGGTGGGCAACAAATAATGGGTTCTCATTGTTTGTTGAATGGATAATAATCTGGATAACTGGGATGAGCAGG